CTGAAGAACAAAAGGACAGCAACTTGTCTGTTCCCCTTCCCCCAATTCCCCAGCGCTGTTCCCATCCTCCAATTCCCCAATAAAAATCTTTAAAAAAAAATATGTTCAGGATTGTTTTAACACCTGTATTTATTATTTTAGAAAATGTCATGAGGGAGTTTGATGAATTTCTGTTAAAAAAAGAGACAAAGAAGGACATTTTGTAAAATTAAAGGAATCAATTCAACAAGAGGATATAACCCTTATAAACATTTATTCAACCAACATAGGAGCACCTAAATATATAAAGCAAACGTTGATGGACATAAAGGGAGAGATTGACAGTAATACAGTCATAGTAGGGACTTGAACTCCCGACTAACATCAGTGGACAGATTTTCCAGACAGAAAATCAACAAGGAAACCGTGGTTTTAAATAATACATCAGACCAGATGGATTTAATTGATATTTTTAGAGCATTTCACACCCCTAAACAGAATATAACTATATAAGATAAAACTAAATGTGAATTTTGATCAAATATTTGCTTTATAATTTACATGTAATAAATGTAAAATGGTTGAATGAGTTATAATGATCACTCTGCTTTCTTCTACAGATTGTAGTGGAAGAGTTTCTAGAAGATATCAATAACATCTTGAATTCAGGTGAAGTGCCGAATTTATTTGAAAAGGATGAACTGGAGCAGGTTTTAGCAGCCACCAGACCAAGAGCAAAAGAAGCAGGAATTTCAGAGGGGAACAGAGATGAGGTATAATGTGTGAAAATGGTTACACGGCTTTTTCCACCAATCCCCTTAAGGAGTCCATGGATAGAATTTTTGTTTTCAGTACAGTTGGTTTCCTTTGTAATTCTCTATGTTTTATTTCCCACATTCAAAGCGTTGGTTCACCAGACTCCCAGCAAGGTCCATGGAAAGCAGAAAACAGAAACCCTACTTCCTCCATGGAGGTCATAGTCTTGTCCAAACCAGACAGCTTCTCTTATTGTTCTTTAAATACAAATTTATTTTACACACCCTCAGTGCCCTGCCTAAAGACTCCAGTATTTTTAACTCCCTTGCTTATCAGCAAAGTTATGGCACAACTAAAACAGAAATGATCTCTCGATCTCTCTCTCTCTCTCTCTCTCTCTCTCTCTCTCTCTCACACACACACACACACACACACACACACACACACACAGTACACGTCCATTTCTCCAAATTCTGTGCTAGGTTCCATATGCCACTGTTTATCTACCTCACTCTTTCCCTCTTTACCTTTTTTTTTTTTTAACTTTATGGCCATTCTTTCTCATGTGTTCTATGTCTTTTCATGAGAATTTCCTCTGCAGCAGGATCAACTTCAGCTAATGTAAGCAGAAATGGGCTTGTTCAAGGGACACAGAATCATGGGGAGGGCCAAAGAAAGGGATTCCAGGCTGAATTCCTTGGAATGAATATGAAATGCACACTGTAGAAACCAATGGTCAAGGAAGCTGACGCCTCTGCCACAACCATTCCTGCTGAGCCAATAAGGCACTACCCCAATCAGCAGGCTTTCAAAGCCATGCAACCCCCACTCTGTCAGGAAGCAGAGGAAATAAGGAGCTGTTGGTTAACAAACTAGGAGTTCCCTGGGGGAGAACCTGAAATTGGCCCACACACACAGAGGAGAAGGAGATACCAAAGGAAGAGGAAGACCACTCCAGGTTGGTAGGTGGCAGGTCAAATAAGTAAGGGAACTTACATACCAGGCTTTGGTCTTGGGTGGACACAAGATGAGTAGATCTCCACACCTGCCCACCAGAATCTTAAAAGTTTATAAAGAGGCCTTAACTGGGTTCTGTCATGTATGTTGTCCAGTCTCAACAACACATTGCTCTCTCAAGGCTGCGTTCTTGAAACAGCTCCCACTGTGGGAATGGTAGGCAAAATATACAGTCCAAGGACAAGGGAGGGGGTGAGAGGCCTCCAATTACCTGGGGCTAGTTCATGGGTCAACAGGCGGTCACATCCTCTCGGTGACCTCCTCCAACAGGAGCCACATAGGGAGATAGTGCTTCCAGGTCCATGCCACTTCTGCTAGGCTCTGCACCTGCAACACTGGTTGCCCTGCACCCTGTCCTCTACAATGGTTCTCTACCCCAGAGCAAAACCTTGTATTAATACCTCTACTTTGTTCAAGGGATCTCCTTAAATACACTGATAAGGAGGATCTACATCACATCCAAAGGAGTCTACAAAATGTAATTTTTAATCTTTCCAGACTGCATGAGAGAGAGGTTGGAGTGGATTTTCAACAAAATAATTTACACATTACTATACTAACGTAATTTAGTTGATATTAGTAGACTCAGATGCATTAGCCAACACTTATTTTCCGTGCTGTTTCATCATTCTTTTAAATTGAAAAATATCTTTTTGTCAGGTGTTTCAATACTTTATCAGCAGAGTCCGTCAGAAGCTGCACATTGTTCTCTGCATGAGCCCCGTTGGGGAGGCCTTCCGGTCCCGATGCCGGATGTTTCCCTCCCTTGTGAACTGCTGCACCATTGATTGGTTTGTCCAGGTTGGTGACTTCCCAGGATATATGAGAAATTAGACTTGCCTGATTTTAAAGGAGTAACACATTGTCCAAGAATAACTCAAGGGTACTTTCATTAGCTTTAAATTCCAGTAAGGATTTATTCACAGGCAAGGGGTAACAACAACAATCATCAAACAAAGGCAAAACAAAATTTATAAAGGAAGAGCAGAGTACTGAATTTAGCAATGTAGATGTGAACAGTGATCTTGACAAGAGCTATTTCAGTGGCATGATGGGAGAAAATGTTGGAGAAGAGGGGAGAGGAATCAGACACAGTGAGTACAGTAACGCCCCCCCTTGTCTGCAGTTTCGCTTTCAATGGTTTCGGTTACCCGCAGTCAACCTCAGTCTAAAAAATATTAAATGGAAAATTCCAGAAGTAATTTGTAAGTTTTAAGTTGCATACCATTTTGAGTAGCATGGTGAAGTCTCACACCATCCCATTCTGTCCTGCCTGGGACGTGAATCATCCATTTGTCCAGCATATCTGTATATGCTACCGCCCATTAGTCACTTAGTCTCAGTTATCAAATTGACTATCAAGGTATCACAGTGCTTGTGTTCAAGTCACCCTCATTTTACTGGATAATGGCCCCAAAGCATAATAGTAGTGATGCTGGCAGTTCAGACATGCCAAGAAAACCTATAAAGTTCTTCCTTTAAATGAAAAGGTGTGCACGTATAGGAAGAAAACAGTATATATAAGGTCCAGTACTATCCAATTTTAGGCATTCATGGGGGTCTTGGAATGTATTCATATCTCCCTGGATAAGGGGGGACTACTGTATAGATGATGCTTTGAAGAAGTTTTGCCCCAAAGGAACACCAGGAGATGGGCAATAGAGGGGTATATGAGGTGAAAAGTATTTTTAAGTGGGAAACACAAGCAGCATATGTGTGGGCTGATGGAAATGATCCAGAAAAAAAGAAATATATTGATGGTGCGGTAGACAGAAATAAGCATTTTGGGACCAATGACTTTGAGTCTACAAGAAGGAATGGGATTGAGTCCTCAATGAAGGGGCTGACCTAGGCAGGGAGCATGCACAACTTACCCTCAGAGAAACAGCAAGGAAGGTAGAGTATATGAGCACAGAGGCAGGTAGATGGGAAGATGTGGAGGTGAGTGCTTATTGAAGTTTCCATTGTTTTTTGTTTGTTTGTTTGTTTTTAGTGATGTGGGAAGTGAGGTCATCAGCTGAGAATGAAGAAGAAAGAGAAAGAATATATGGTGTAAAATACTCACTTAGGAGGGTACATTAGGGATGTATTAGAAAATGTAGAAGCATTTCCAGACTGCATTAGAACTCACTCGAGCTAGCTGTCATGAATTTGAAGTGAGGCCAGTCAGCAAGGTTGTGTGTTTTTCTCCAGCCATGATCAGCTGCACAATCACAGCCATGGGGTAACAGAAAATTGCATTTGACTAACAGTTCAGGTGACTGCAAAGAAACAAGAAAGTAAAGGAGTTGAGGTGAAAAGGACAGTAATTATAATAATGGATCTGACATCCAAACTGCTTAATAAGCTGAGTGAGCACATGAGGTCCTCATAATATATGTATGTGATTTTATTCATGGAATTATCCTAAGGCCACCCAATCGTTTATTCATTCAATCAACAAATATTCATTGAACAATTTCTATGTGCCAGACACTGTGTGGAGGACAGCAAATGCAGATCCACACCCCCATCTAATAAACACAGCCACTCAGTTCATTAAACATCGTAGACATGAATAGTTTACTAAGTGAAAGGGGGAGAAAGGTAAGGAAGAGTTCCAAAGATATACATTTTTCTTATTTGTTAAACTGTATATTACAGAAATGAGCAACCGATTTTCCAAATTATATATTTATTTACAGTGGCCCAGAGAAGCACTTCTTTCTGTATCAAAGACATTTTTCTCAAATGTTGATGCTGGAAGTGATGAAATGAAAGAAAAGCTATCCCTCATGTGCGTGAATGTTCACTTAGGCGTCTCCAATATGGCAGAACGCTATTACACAGAGCTCCGGAGACGGTACTACACAACGCCCACCTCCTACTTGGAACTCATCAATCTCTACCTGTCTATGCTGAGTGATAAAAGGAAGCAGTTGGCTTCAGTAAGTTTAATATTATATATATATATATATATATATATATATATATATATATATATATATATATATATATATATATATTATTGCTTAATCTTAAAACTTGTCAGAACGATTGGAAGATCTACGTGCCATCTTAACTGCTGGAGCCCTCTCCATCCTGACATGTGCCCTTGACAACCTACAATATGACAAAAAAGTGTTTCATGCTGTCTTCCCACAGACCTCCCTCTTCCTTGATATTTATATTTTGTCTTCTATCATTTCTGCAAGTGTCATTGACTCAGTAGAATGATATGGATATTGCAATAGCATCAAAGTCAAGCACAGAACCAGTCATCTCTGCAGTATTTAACAAGAAGGAAAACTTTTTGTTAAGCAGTAGAGATGGAGTTTTGGTGGTCTAATGTGTCAATTGTTCCCATTAAGAGCAAAAGCTTTGGTATCAGGCAGACTGTGTACAACCACTGCCTCTTTCTTCCTACACAACCTTGAGCACATTTTATAAACTCTCTAAGTCTTAGTAGAAAATAAGGCTTTAAAATATCTATATCTACCTCTTGGATTGTTGTGGGATTTAAATAAGATACCGTTTGTGAAGTGCTTGGAATATGATCTGATGCATATGAGGTGCTCAGAAAATAGTGCCTGCCATCATCATCATCATCATCATCATCATCATCATAATGCTATTAACATGATCTAAAATTCTCAACACAGTAAAAATGGAAACATTTACCATTTATATACTTTATATGTTTTTCAGAGGATATTTTTACCTGGTAAATACATGCCTAGTAAAAGAACTTGACAGATATTTTTGAAACCTGCCAATTTCTACCAAGCTTTCTGACTCACCTTCAGAACATTATTCACAGGTGCCTTCTCTACCAGATACCATCCTTTTGATTCTAATTAAAAGTTTCCAACCACTGAGAAGTAGGGTTCATACCCAGCAACCCAAAGGAAGTACCTAGGCCACTGTCTCCTTGGGGATTCCCAGCCCTGCTGACCACTTGAGGAAACAAGTGTTGAAATAAACCTTCAAGGCTGAAAGCTGGCCATATGCTAGCCAGAAAAAGGACTAGGTCCTGGAGCATGCAGTCCAAATCACCAACAGCTGGGCTAGATGGAGAAGACAAACATGTCTGCCATCCTGGAGTTGACAAGGCTCTTTTATACAACGAGTATGGGGAAGAAAGATGCAAGTTGTTTTGGAAGGATTTACATTAAGGAAGGTGAAGGTGAAGCAGGGAGAGTTCTGGGATAGGTGAATTGTATATCAGACAAGAAATATCTAATGGGTTTGGATTGGTTGTGGGCACAGTCTAGAACATTCATGCATAAACAAAATGAGGTGGTGCCTGGTGGTGATCTAAATAATCACTGGAATGAACATGGAAGCAGTCTTTTGATAGTTTTGGCCCATGACTGATTAACTTTCCTTGTCTCCTTCTCCCACCCTCCAGCCTGTCGTAATTTAGTTTGGGATATCTCAGAATTTTTCTCTTGTCATAGCTCTCAGTGCTGCAACCTCCAGGAATTTCTATCTGATCTTGTCCTTCATTCATTCAACATGTGACTAAGCAGCACATAAAATTAAAATAATACCATGTGGACTCTCAGTGAGCCCACAGTCCAGTGATGTCCCACTCCTGTGGCCAGGGGGCATGGATCCAAACCTAGTGTCGTGAATCTCATGGCCAATTCCTAGAGTTGTGTTACCTGAAGTTTTCTGTATGTTCACAATTTTAAGTATTATAAACTGATTTATCAGTTCTGTAGATGTAAAAGTCTACTACCTGAAAAAGACATGCCAGTAAACATACAGTTTATAATGCTCATTATAATGAATATTTTCATTGTCATCTAGGCACGTGACCGGGTGAAGAATGGTCTCAGCAAGCTGTTAGAAACAAATGTACTAGTAGATAAAATGAAATTAGATCTTTCAGCTTTAGAACCTGTCCTTTTAATAAAATGCCAAGATGTGGAAGCCTTGATGGACAAATTGGCAGTGGATCAAGAAAATGCCGATCAGGTACGCTGAATCACCTGACATTGGGGGTGAGAAAATGTGATCACCAACTGATCATTTATATCCCATGACATATTATTGGATTTTTAAAAATTTTATGTTATTAAAATAATTGCTAGAGTCAGGCCAGCCGAGTGGCTCAATTGGTTACGAGTTAGCTTAAGAACGCGAGCTCTGAGCAACAGGGCCGCCGGTTCGATTCCACATGGGCCAGTGATGCTGCGCCTGAACTGAGCTGCCACTGAGCTGCCAACAGGTGGCAGGATGGCTCAGTTTGTGAGAGCACTTGCTCCTAACAACAAGACTGCCTGTTTGATGGTGGGCTATGCCCACCTGCAACTAAGACTGAACTTGGCACCTTGAGCTGAGCTGCTGCCCGGTTGGCTCAGTGGATAGAGCATGCGCTCTTAAAAACAAGGCTGCTGGTTTGACTCCTGCATGGGATGGTGGCTACGCCCATCCACAACTAAGATTGTAACACAGCACCTTGAGCTTAGAGGCCATGAGCTGCCGACAGGAAGCCAGATGGCGACTGGCACCCTCCACAGCTAAGATTGAAGAACAACAACTTGGCTGGTCCTCCTCCCCAATTGCCCAACACTGTTCCCCTTCCCCAATTCCCCAACTTAAAATAATAATAATAATAATAATAATAATAATAATAATTTTGAGATTTAGAAATATTTTTAAGTTGCAAACCATCTCCCTTCAATAAATCAGCCTGGTTCTCTCCCTGAGAATGAGTGAACCCACAGAGACAGTTGTAAGAAAAGTGCCACCTATAAATGTAAAGCACCTACCATATTTCCCATGTATAAGATGCACCCTTTTTCGAAAAATTTGGGCTCTAAAAACTGGTTGCGTCTTATATAGTGATTGTAGATTTTCTTTTTACTTCCACTTCCCACTTTTTTTGCGCTTATTTTTGCACTCATACAACCGCTGTATAAGACGCACCCAGTTTTTAGACCCCAAATTTTTCGAAAAATGGTGCGTCTTATACATGGGGAAATACGGTATTCTCCTAGCAGGAACTGTTCATTCTAAAAACTGTGTCTCCATTATCCTATTAATGTAGCATGAGATGGATGAAGGAGTGCAAAATTCAGTATAGCTAATCTTCCATCACTGGTCTAATCCAAAGGGGCAACTATGACTCACTACTATTGACTTTTTTTTTTAAACATTGAAATTCAAATATTGAGACCACTTAAGCCGTTGTGTTTCAATGGTTAGGTCCGTAACATTGTGCAAGAAGATGAAGCAACTGCAAAAGTGAAAGCTGAAGAAACCCAAGCAATAGCTGATGATGCTCAAAGAGATCTAGAAGAAGCTCTACCTGCGCTCGAGGCTGCTAATAAAGCACTGGATTCCTTAGATAAAGCAGATATATCTGAAATCAGAGTGTTTACAAAGCCCCCAGATTTGGTCATGACTGTCATGGAAGCAATTTCCATTCTCTTGAATGCCAAGTGAGTAATCCAGAATCATGTATTGCCAAAATACCTGGTGGAGTTTCTTTGCTGTTTTTCTCAGTTTTCATTTATGTTTTCATTCTCTTTACCCTTTCACTGATTTGTTCAGTCATTTAATAGATTGAGTCAACAAGCAGTTTTTTTTGTGCTAGATGATGAGAGATTGGAAGTTCTTCCTTACAAGATGCATACAGTCTACTGGAGACAGACATAAAAAATAATAATGTCAAGACATGCAAGAGTTGCATAGCATTAGGAGTGCTGGGAAAAGAGTGACCCTGGGGAGATGTGAGCAGGCATTTCAAGAGATGATGCTCAGTGGAGAGTGGGACCATGGGGAGAGCCCATGGACCTTTGAGGCTCATGTGATGGGATGGGGCTGAGCAGTGATTACATCATAAAAGGTCTTGTATGCTGTGCTAAGCAGTTCAGATTTCATCTTGGGGGTGTATAGTTTTCAAACTTTCTTTAGTAATACAATCTTTTTTCAATAAAATCTAGTAGATTATAAGAAGCCTTTCTATATAAAACTGATCAGAGCAAGGGTGGAGGGCCCAGATCACCCCCTTGCCAGGCTTCCCTAACTGACCCCCTGGCCAGTCCCTCAGCGGGGAGGGGGCCTGGGAGCTCTGCAAAGCACAGATGAGAGCCCTGGACTCAGGGAACTGAGAACTGCTGAACGTTTTCAACATAATCGTATTTTCCTGTGAGAAAGACCAATTTGGCAAAAGTTCACTGAGAAACATAAAACCAGTTAGAAGGTGATTATAGTTGTCCTGGAAGGAGATTTTTAGGGCTCTAAACTAAGGAAAAGGAGGTAAAAATGTGCCTGGGGCATTTTAAAAATAAAACTATTATTTCTATAATGCCTTAACATTTCTAAAATTCTATGATTTTATCACTTTCTCTCCCAAAACTGGGTTGTATGGAACATTCGTCATCCAATTACCTGTCTCCCCGTGAGTTGTGGTGTACTGGGCTTATATTATGGATGTTAGAACTACCCACTTACTGGGATAATATCTTAATGTTCTCAAAGGAATACATTTCTTTTGTTGTTGTATTACTTTATTACAATGCTATTGGCTTATCCTGTGTGTCTTTCAGGCCTGATTGGCCAACAGCAAAGCAACTTCTTGGTGACTCTAACTTCCTAAGAAGACTTTTAGAATATGATAAGGAAAACATAAAACCTCAAATATTGGCAAAGCTTCAAAAGTATATTAATAATCCTGATTTTGTGCCTGAAAAAGTAGAGAAAGTGTCCAAAGCATGTAAATCCATGTGCATGTGGGTAAGAGCAATGGATTTGTACTCTCAGGTCATCAAAGAGGTTGAACCAAAGAGGCAAAAACTTCATGCTGCACAGGTATTTTATATTTTATATTTTATAGAATTAAAGGCCATGACCATCAATCATTCAAGCTCCCCTCATAATGCCACTGTGACACTACGCACTATAGGTAGTAGCCATGCGGTTGGAAATTACTTTTGGTTTTAAACAATAGCGGGCAACAGTTATTTTTTTCAGAAATGACCTCTAAAATCAGCCCTCTTCCAGCATAAAAGGCAAATGAGTTCTTAGTATGTTCATATTGCCTACAGTACTTCTGACATGCCTTTTAGTTCTAACATCTGATGCTGTATCCATTTTCCAAATACTCCCACACTTGATGGTAGTGCCACCTGAGGTTCTAAAAACCAGCTTAACTGGCAGTTGGAAGGGAGGTCCCAAGCAGAACACGTGATGGTTATTTAGTGGGATAGGTTACTGTGGCTACAGAGCAGGGGTTGGCAAACTTTTTCTATGAAGATCCAGATCATAAATATTTTCAGCTTTGTTGGCTGTATGGTCTCTGTTGCAGTTACTCAGCTTTTCCCTTGCAGCACAAAAACAGCCACCAACAACTAACACATGACTCAGCATGGCTGAGTTCCCATAGAACTTTACTTATGGACACTGGGATTTGAATTTCATACAGTTATCATGTGTCATGAAATACTGTTCTTCTTTTGATTTTTTTCCCCAACCACTTAAAAAGGTAAAAACATTTTTAGCTCACAAACCACAGGAACGCAGGCAGCAGACTGGAACTGGCCTACAGGCTGTGGTTTGCAGGCCCCTCCTCCAGAGAACTAGTTAGGAAAGATTAGTTTTCACTGTTGCATGAATAATTCATTTGTTTCATCATTTAAAATTAATAATCCAGTGTAGTAACTAATTCATCCCAAATGCTTTGGTACATCTGTTTCTCTGTTCCCTCTATGATTTATTTTGTTGGGCTTTGTTTTGTCTTTGTTTTAATCTGTTTGCTTCTGCTCTTATTTTATTCTATTCTATATTTGTTTTAACTTTGTATATCATATCAAAATCTTTTAGGACATGAAAAAGGGAACATAAACCTATTTTATTAAAAAATCTATTATAAATGGGCAAATATGACCTTCTTTGGGGCCTATTCATAAATATTTACTTGATTTTATTAGGCTGAACTTGATGTTACTATGGCTACTCTAAAAGCAAAGCAAGCATCACTAAAACAAGTGGAAGATCAAATACAGGCCCTACAAGATGAATATGACAAAACTGTGAATGAGAAAGAAAGTCTGGGTAAGTAGCTCATAAAATTTATGTTGCTCAGGACATGCATGATTTTCAAAAGTAGAAAGGGTTTAAAGCAGTCATATCTCAGCGTTCATTCAACATGTAAGATGTATTTCCATTAGCCTTCAAGGATAAAGTCAGAAGAACTGGATATATTGTATATGCTCAACTCCTATATCTGAATAAGGCCTGTTGGGACATGTTACATTATAACACAAAGCAACATATGAATTTGATCCAGAAAATAAATACTAGGGGGCACAGAGAGAGTGCTGCCTTCAGCCAGAGTAATTAAATAGTGCTAACTCCACTATAAACAGAAGCAGGTGAATAAACTTCTCATAGTTCAGGAAAATATTGAATAACATAACCTCATTCTTAAAATTTTCTAGCAAAGACTATGGCCCTGACAAAAGCACGTCTGGTACGTGCTGGAAAGCTGACGGCCGCTTTAGGAGATGAACAAGTTCGATGGGAAGAAAGCATCCAGAAATTCAATGAGGAGATACCGAATGTCATCGGGAATGTGTTCATAGCAGCAGCTTGTGTGGCTTATTATGGAGCCTTCACAGCCCAGTATAGGCAACTGGTGAGTAAACTTGCTTTTTATAAGGAGTGGTGAGAAGCAGCTGAAACTGTGTGGATGGAGGGAGTCATTTCTCTAAGTGTAGATGGAGGCTCTCCACTGTGGAGGTTCTCCATCACAGAAACTTATTTAGACATTCCACAGCCTTCTATCTCTCCCCTCAGCCAGTGATGGTCTACCCCTAGCTTTTCCCTAACACATTCCTCCCTTTCCTTTCCTGCCTTAGAAAGTTAGTCATCACTTATTGCACACACAGCACAAGAACCTGGGGGAAGAAAAAGGGACAGGGAGTCCCCTACCCTTATGATCAGCAGTGGCATCTAAAGTCAGCCAGGATGTAGTTTTCTGAATTGGTGAGACTGCGACAAAGAGCTAGGTCATAGGAAAGAGAGGAAACTCAATTATCTGGAGAGATTTTCAAGCCATTTTTATGAAATGCCATCCTAAAAATGTTTTGCCCTTGTCCCTGAGTTATAAAACCTTGTTAGCATGACCAATGTGCTGTACTACTGAAGTTGAAGTAGGATAATATTGTACCATATGTCAACTATAAGGGAAAAAAATGTATAGATATATATAGATAGATAGATAGATAGATAGATAGATAGATAGATACACACACACATATATATATATATATATGTGTGTGTATACGGTCATGGAAGGTGGAGTACAGCATAGGGAAGATAGTCAATGGTACTGTAATAGCTATATAAGGTGTCAGAGGGGTAGTAGCTTGGGCGGGTTATCACTTTGTGAGGGGTGTAAATGTCTAATCATTATGTTGCTTTGTACACCTGAAACTTAAAAAAAAAAACCAAAAACCAAAACCTAGTTAGTATATGTAGGACTCATATAGACTCTACAGGAGCTCAAGGGTCACCTGGTGCCATGTGGGCAGTGGTGCAAGTGGTGCTCTTGGGGAACAGGCAGTTCCCTGGTGTGCATGACTGTGCCACTCATTGAAGGGGGTAACATGCTAACATATTTCTCCCCCATCTACTAATTCCTATTAGCCCCCACAGTCATTGTGATAACCTCAACTTCTCCACATGCTTCTAGACTCTCCCAAGAGGGGCAGTACACCCCTGATTGAAGACTGCTGTGACAATCCTTGTCCTTTACACATGAGAAAACTGAAGTCCAGATGGGAGGTGACAAAACCATGGCTAGTTAGTAGTATAGTTCCAGACCTTCCTTTCCTTCCCTGCCTTAGAAAGTTATTCATCCCTTATTTACACAGCACAAGAACCTGGGGGAAGAAAAAGGGACAGGGCATCCCCTACCCTTAGGATCAGAAGTGGTGTCTAAAGTCAGCCAGGGTGAAGTGGACCTTTTAGTCTACTTTTTATGTCCCATGCTCTGATGCCAGAGTGCCTGTGGAGACTCGCAGGACTTACTCCTAACCTGACATTTTGTGTGTATCTTCATTTACTGAGTGCTCCTGACTCTGTACAAGTAAGCTCTCCTTCTGCAGCTTGTAGAGTGTTGGATCCAGGACTGTCAGTCTCTAGAGATCCCAATCAATGCTTCCTTCAGTCTCATTAACATTCTCGGTGATCCCTATGAAATACGACAGTGGAACACGGACGGGCTGCCACGTGACATGATCTCAACGGAAAATGGCATTTTGGCTACTCAAGGGAGACGGTGGCCTCTGATGATTGATCCCCAAGATCAGGTATGTAACCCAATACTTCAGGTAAAGAGTGCCCTGTTAATGCTGCTTAATATTGTGCTGTCTGTTACGAAGTCTAAAAGTGGACTTTAACATCTTATAAGCTCTTGGGAATGTAGACCTAGAGGGAATTTAGAAGTCTTCTAGTCTGAGGCCCTCATTTTGTGGCTGTAGAAAGTAAAAAGGGAAGCCTCTGAGTGCTCTGCATACTTATGATTGGGTTTGTTTAGGGGGTGGACCATTGCTTTTCTGTTTTCCGTGGGAGAAATTCATTCCTGTATAGTCCTTGTTCCTAAAAGGTCTGATGAGTCAAAATGAAGTCAGGGCCTGATGAATTTTAGAGCAAGGCATGTCCACAATTTACGGAATCCCATTATCTGACTCCTAAGCCCATGGTTCAGATTGTACTAAATGGGGTTTGGAAAAGGAGCAGTTGGGAAAGCAGGGAGACGAGCTTGACTAGCAGAAGCATGGGCTTTATTTTCCGGTTGGGTCTTTGCTTCATTTGTTTCAAATTCAAATAAAAGGAAGAATCCCAAACATGAGGGAGTGGTTTTGTATTTTATCTTTTTTTTTTTTCTTCTTACCTTTCAAACCTGTTTCTAGATTAAACAAAAGTTCTAAACTTTATTCTAAAAACTTCTAGCCATTTATAAAACTCTAAAGCAAATGTTCTGCTGTGTGCTTTCTCATACAGGCAAACCGTTGGATAAGGAACAAGGAAAGCAAAAGTAATTTAAAGATCATTAAGCTTACAGATAGTCATTTTTTACGCACACTTGAAAATGCGATCCGACTTGGTTTACCTGTTTTACTGGAAGAGGTTTGCTTTTTACTTTTCTCATGCTAGTTTTCAACTTTCATGTCATATCTGGAATCCTATACAGGTCATATTTGTATCATGCTAAAGACACTAGTCAGGTCCATTTTCAAATTAGTCAAACCAATTTCTTTGCTTCCTAAAGAACACACGCTCATATGGAGAGCCATCTGTTGATTGAACAAATTTTTCTGTTTCCAGACATTGTTTTGGTATTAAATGAGATGGGCTGTTTTCTGACTAACTCTTGGGCCTCATTGTGGCCCTTGATGGTTAGCGGCCCTGAAAATTCAGAGCAGGGACTGTCCACACACCACTAATGATGTGGAGCCAGTAAAATACTCCAGGGCATAAACATTATTTTCTACTTAGAGGTCAGAATTAGATTAAGTGACATGATAAGAATGAACTTTTGTTATTTTTTTTAAAGTATGTTTGTTTAATCTAAGTGCTCCATTTGTTTAGAATCACTGCAATAATGGATGTTTCTGAAATTGTTCACTCATTCAATACACATTATTTGAGAATCAATGCCAAACAATATAGATGTGGTTGTTGCCCTCAATACCTTACAGTCCAGTTGGGGACAAAGACAGTAAACAGAGAAAAGAGAGAAGAAGTGAGAGACAAGGGGAGAAAGGGCTTTGAGGAGACAAGCCCAGTGCTGACATAGCCATTAACGGGGGGGTGGGAGGTAGGAAACGAATTTAGATGCATGGCTATAGGTAGTAACATTTGTGCTGTCACCTGTATGATGAGTTCAGCTATGTGAAGAGCTCAGAGAGAAGGGCCTCCCAGGCAAAGGGTACAACATGTTCAAAGGCCTTGGGCACAAAAGAGACTGGTTAATGGTTGTGGTTTATTTACCTAATTTACCATTCTACCGGTGGTGCCAAAAAAAGTATACACATTTTAAGAGATGTTATCTATGTATTTACTTTTCAAAGTTGAATTGAATTATGGTAGCAATGTGTAGTATGGTGTTTGCTCAAAAGATGGAGTTAATTAAATGTATGCTAGCTAGCATCACCATGCGACAGGCAGAATAGTCAAAGAAAATGGCGGAAGCACAGTTGTCGTTTGAGCAGTGCAAGACCATTTTGAAGTGGTATCTGAAATTCGAGAACGTTGTGGAAGTACAACAATGGAGGCATGAATATGCAACAGAACCTCCAACCCATGTAACAATTGCACACATTCGTGATAAGTTTGAGACCCATAGTACTGTGTGAAGAAATTGAAACAGCATGAGCAGCGATACAAGTGGACACTTTGGTCCATGTTGCTCAAACAATAGTTCGCCATAATCAGAAGTGTCTGGACACTGATGGTAACCACTTTGAGTACCTCTTGTAATTGCAGAAGTCAAGAGTGACTTGTATTCATCTTTTGTTATCAGTATATATTGAGTATTACAACTTTAATAGTTTTTTCCTTTCTTAAAATGTGTATACATTTTTTTTGGCATCCTCTGTATTTGTATAAGAGAAGAACGAGTGAGCGGAAGCATGGGCTGTGAGCTGAGCGCCAATTTAACCACACACAGAAGTATCTAACTTGGCAAAGTGGTGAGAAGCTCAGAAAGCACCATTAACTGGAGCAGCTGAGCCGCAGCCTTGGCACACTCTTGGAATCATAATTAATATCAGCATTAGCTACCATTTATGGAGTGTTCACTACACACTAGACGCTGCTCTTGGTATTTTACATTTATTAGCTCTTTAATCCTCACAGCAGAGGCTTTTAACTGTACCTGAATGCTCTTGGGGTTGAGGGTGGACCCCTGGTTAGGGTCCCTGCCAGGAACAGGACACTGACTGACCTCTCCTGCTTTCTGTGACTTGAAGTCATTAGCATTATAGACCCAGCTGCTTTCTTCCTTTGTAGGGTGATAATTTTACACTTTGTCTCTACCCATTCATAGTTGTGAAGTCAAGTTAGTTTATCTCAATCAGCATTTTTTAATGGAATAGAATTTTAAAAGCACAAAATTGTATTGCGAGTACTAAGGAAAATTTTATCTCATAAATTTTTGTTTTCAGAAATTATTACATGCTTGGGTACCATGTCACCATGTGAAAGAGAGTTCTTAACTATCAATTACAATCAAATTTTGACAGCTCCTGGGCTGTGGGCCCCCATCACATGCATGCTGACCTAAACATGTTTGCCATGGGGTCTGTTGACAATGTCTGCCTGACTGAATTCCTAGTAATAATCAGATTTGATTTCCGGGAAATAAAATAACTGTCTTATATAACATAGGTCCACAAACTTTTTCTGTGAAGAGCCAGATATTTTTGTTTTTTCAGGCCACATACTATCTCTGCACAAATATTCAATGAACAAATCTTTTTTGTTTTGGTTTGGTTTGGTTTGATTTGGTGGTTTTGTTTGTTTGTTTTTTAGAAAGGTAAAGACTATTCTTAGCTTAAGAGCTATACAGAAAAGGGCCACAGAGAGCCAGATTCACACAGCAGGCTATGGGCGGCAAACTCATGACTTACAACAACTATGAAAGTGAACAGGTCTATATTTGTCCGGGGCCTGTTGCAAGACCACCCTGCAGGGACTGTTTTCTTAGCTTCTTTCTCATGGGGATGAACAGTGTGTTGGCTTCACGTGCCCTTATTTCCTTAGACTCTTGGAACATGGACACTGTTGGAGGTAGTGAGGGGACACTAAGAAATATTTGTAAGGTCACTAAAAAACTGCTTGTTCAAATTAAATGTTGAGGCCTAAGGAATTTGGAGATGTTGACATCCATTTTAATGCCTTGTTTTTGTACTTTTGTTTTAATTTTTAAGCTTAAGGAAACCTTGGATCCAGCTCTCGAACCCATTCTTTTGAAACAGACCTTCGTAAGTGGTGGACGACTGCTCATTCACCTTGGAGATTCAGACATTGATTATGATAAAAATTTTAGGTTCTATATGACAACCAAACTGCCAAATCCCCACTACCTACCTGAGGTATGAGCTATGGGTCTGGAACCCCCAGCCTGAATGGCTTATTATAGTCTGACGGGTCTCCAAAGTTTGGTGGGTTCCCACCTGAGGGAACAAGTCTCCCCGGATTCCTCTCCCCTCTCCAAAACCACCTCTCCTTCCACCATTCTCCACTCTTGCTTCTCTTCTGAGTCCTGATTCTGATTTCAGTCGTCCTTCTACTGGCCACCGAGTTGGGACTCAAATCCCGCCCCGTTCAGTCCTCACGCCGCTGCCCTGTCTCACTTCCCTGTGCATCCTCAGTGGTCACACCACCCCCTCCTGGTCCTCAGCTGCTCCTCACATCACAGGGCACCACTCCCTTCCATTCTTCTCCCTCCTTCAACACAAGGCCATTTGTGCCTTCTCATTGTGGCCTATTCATGAATCAGAGTTTAACTAAGAGTCTGGAGGGGGGAGGGGGAGAGAAGATGGGGGCGTCAATGTGTAAGTGTGCAGTTGCCCACATACAGCCCCAAACAAAGAGGTTGTCTGCTTGAAAACTCTGGTGACTGACAATGTCAGAGAATCATGATACAAACGTCCAGTGTGTCTGTACTTAGAGTTCTGGGGGAGGAGGCATCTTCTCCCCTTCCTCACGCTCTTAGACTATTTGAGAGAGCTTAGTGAGTCCTACTTCCATAAACATGTCCCTGAGCCTCAATAGGATCCAGAAGAACCCCTATTCTTGTGCTTCAGAGCCCAAGGCAGTCACAACAGAAATGAAGACAGCTGGGATTTCTTTCCCCCTTCCCAGAAGGGGCTCTGAGGGGCAGCTCCACCCCTGCGACCCGCAGTGCTGCCGCAGCTCCACCCCTGCAACCCGCAGTGCTGCCGCAGATCCAGGCACAGCAGCAGACTCTGCAGGATCTTCCCAGCCTGGCAGGCCTTCCCCTCTCTAATAGGGCCTATGCAATAGAGCAGGACTTCACAAATCAGGACTTATTACATACACACACACACACACACACACACACACACACATTTTTTTTAAATCCTTAAATATACCCTTTCAATAGTGTCATTTTCACTTTAGTTACTGAATTTCTCATAGCTGCCTGTCTTCATAGATGTGTCTAGATTGAATGAAATTGACACACTTCTTGAATAAGATGAGGGAAATACCATCAAAAGCCTAAGTCAGGGTTTTCTGTCAGCCTCAAAGCGGTTAATTACACAGCCACTGCCAGAGCACATGTCCCAAGTCCCACTTTACAGTTTAGAAATGCGACCAGTGTGCTAACTTACGAGCTTTGATTTTTCACTTAACTTTGAGAGGGAGCATCGCATACCCTACCCAATCCTAGCTCTGTGACTGGGTAAATTATTCCATTTCCTGGATCCTCAAGTCAATCAGCTATAAAGTTGACAGAAAGCCTACTTCAAGGATTTACTGTGAAGATTAAATAAGAATAACATATGTAAAATATGACATTCAAACACCTGCTCATATTTATCCTTTTTGCTGTTGGCTTATTCAAGTAATGTCAGGATATTGTATTATAGCCAACAATTTTTCATAAAACTGTTATGATGAAACAAAATATGTAAAAGTCTATTAGTATCAATAATATATCCTTTTTAACTAGGGCAAACTGTAAGTCACTATTACTAAGTAATTTTATTACTTCATTTGGTCCTCACAAATACCCTGTGAGTTGTTACCTGCATTATCCCAGTTTTTAAATATCAGGAACTTAAAGCTCAGCTTGAATGAATGGCTTGTCCAACTTCATACATGTACTAAAGCGTGCACCTGGAATTTGAACCCAAGCAATTGATTCTATAACCCTGCTTCTTGCTAATCCTTCGCTGGCTCACACATTAACCATGGCATTTGAGGAACAAGACTGTCACTCACATGGGCAGGGAAAATCATACTGGGATGTCATATGACATAGTATGCTTGATGTGTGTGGGGGTGGATATGTTCACAATTAGACCCGAGATACATCCAGCTGGGTACTAATGAGCCATGTTCTAATAAAGAATGCAGTTCTTATTTTATTCATCTGAACTTAAGCATTTTTATGAACTCGATGCTTCTTTTCTAGGTGTGCATTAAAGTCACCATCATCAATTTCACTGTAACTAAATCAGGTCTGGAGGATCAGTTATTAAGGTAAAAAAGGGGGGCTGGGGAGACAAAGTTTCCTAATACTTTGTTTAGAAATTCTGACAAAGAAAAATTTTAATATATGAAAAGAAAGCATCACGCATGAACCCTCAATCAAAGAGGCAGCAGTAAATGGCCAAGTTCTTTACCTCTTTAATCACTCTTCACAGGTGCTGATCACGCCCACAATTGTCTCAAGATCAGGGCTAGACCTGGTTAATTCTCACCTGGGTTTGGGCCTGGCCTGCAGCCCAGCCTCTTCCCCCACCCAGCGGTTCTCCACCTGTGGGGCGCGACCCCTTTGGGGGTCGAACGACCCTTTCACAGGGGTTGCCTAAGACCATCGGAAAACAAAAAGATATTTACATTATGATTCATAACAGTAGCAAAATGACAGTTATAGAGTAGCAACGAAAATAATTTGATGGTTGGGGGTCACCACAACATGAGGAACTGTATTAAGGGGTTGCGGCATTAGGAAGGTTGAGAACCGTTGCCCTACACTAAGGTTCCCAGTCTTGGGCAAGTGAATGAAATCAGTCATTCTGCGGTTCCTAGAGACTCACTGCACCATACTGTGAAAAAACTGCTACTCCTAAATATATTTTCCTGTTCCACTTGTCTCTAAAATTTTCTTAGTATATTTAATTTTACCTGCATTTGTCCACCTCAAAAAAATAAATATCCTCCCTCAATATACTCTGTATGTGATTACATCTCCATTTCCCAAAAATGAGATTATGGATTATTCATATTAACCATCAGTATTAGCCAACAGGTTTACAAGGTAAAAAATTTTTAGTATTTATTAAAATAACAACTTTGATATTGGTTAAAAACTAATTATGGGGGTGTGTGTTCATTAAGTCTAAAGGAAAATATAATTCAGACCCATGTTCAAAATAAATATAATCCTTTATGTTCAAGTCAAGATTATCTTGATTTACTCATTATCACTAATGAGTCTGTCTCGTTTTGTTTATTTTAAGAATCTATTCTGACAACTGCTAACTTGCTTAACTTTTTCTTGGCTAACTTCTTTCTAGACAAAGGGTATTTCACCACATTTTATAGATATGTTCTAAAGACATGGCTGAATGCTTTGCAGACCAGTTTATTCCCATGAAGAATTAAGTTTAGCTGTGTCACTAAGCTGTCAGTCAGCATGTTAGACTGCCTTGGATGAGAACCAGTGCCCTGACCTGCACTAGGGAGGTGGTTATGGGGTGTGGAATCCCTGGGCTATATTTTACAATCCTCTCTTCTGAAAAAATTCTTTAAGCAAATGAATTTGAGGTGATGCTACTTTAATGGTGTTCATATATTAATTTTTAAAGTTTCTGACTTCAGCATGTACATAATAAATAAACAACGGGATATTATATAAGGCAGTTCATCACAGTGAGTGATAGAATGTGCCTTGGAGCCAGCCAACCCTGGTACAAGACCAGCTCTGCCTCTCAAAGCCATGTGGCCTCAGGGAAGTGACCCTCTAGGAGTCTAGGGTCTGTTCACTCATCTGTGAGCTGGAGTGGTAACCACCATGCCACCTGCCAGGAGCATTCAAAGAATTGAAAGAGAAAATCCACAAAAAACTCTCAGCAGGGTGCCTCCCACAGAGTGATGCTTAATAAAGATTAGCTCCTACAAAGGGCTGGGAGCAAATTAGAAGAGGACAAGTAAAGGGAGACAAAAGTTCACATGTTTAGATGGGAGCTGGCGGTAAGGCCCCTGTATTAAATCCAATCAAGAATCATTTCAGAGAGGTGATGGGTTTTCAGAATCTCCCATGTTGGCGTGACAAGAATGTTCCAGGCACCATTTCCAGCCTGGCACAAGCAAGCATTAGGGACAGAAACTGAACGCGTAGAGAGATCAAACATTGGGCAGGTTTTCCTAAGAGAAAATGAGCAAAAGCTGTGGGAACTGTGATAGGGTGTAGGTTTTGAAATACAAGATAAAGAATCAGAACTAATACATAGTTCAGTGAATAGCCACTATGTAAACATCGCAAAAGAGGGGATTTATGCATTAGGACTTAGCTACTAGCATTAGTACTCAGCGAGGTAGCAATATATATATATATATATATATATATATATATATATATATATATATATATATATATATATATATATATATATATATATTATGGTGCTGACAAAGCCATAATATAGGTATTCAAACTTTGGTTCTAGTGATGTGGTGCGACTTGAGAAACCTGAGCTGGAAGAACAAAGAATCAAGCTCATTGTGAATATCAATACTGATAAAAACCAGCTGAAAGCTATTGAAGATAAAATCCTGAGACTGCTCTTTACATCTGAAGGAAATATTTTGGACAATGAAGAACTTATTGATACACTCCAGGAGTCAAAGGTGAGTAAAATATTTTTAGTATCTATAAAAAATGTGTTGCTTCAAAAGCTACAACTATACCCTTTGATGGTTCCTGCGAAGTCTTTTAAAGCAAGAACAGTAGTTACACCTGGGCTGCCAGGGGTATGCATTCCTGGCTGACACCAACTAAAGGAACAGTAGACAAATTGTAGACAATGGCTCCTCCTATCTGCCTTTTTAAAAATAAAATGTGTAATGTAAAGAAAGGATACAAGAAGTAAGTTGAAAGGAATAACATAATTATATATTCATATTAATGTCACCCCCTCCAGGAAGCCTCCTTGCTATTCCCAGCTGGAATTAATCTCTTCCTCCTTGGAACACCTGTAGCACCTTATCTGAGCCTCTATTACAGCACTTATACTGTTTACTTATGTTATAGTTATCTAATTACATGTCTTATCTCTTCTGTTAGGTTGTTAAATTCTATGTAGTGGGAATCTGTGAATAGTTCATCTTGATATTCCTTCTCCAAGAGCTAATTAATTGCATGATTAATAAATGGTGCTCAATAAAGTTGAGTTCATAGTAAGATGAAGTTTTACATTAAATGTATATCCTGCAGTGAATTAGTTCTCAGATTCAAATCATAATTTTATAAGTGTACTGGAAACACAACCTATAAAAATGATTTTTATCCATTCATGAGAAACATAAAATAGGAAAGCAACAGAAGATGGCAGAGTAAACACTGTGCCTGCATCTTTCTGTGAACACATTAAAATTACAACTAAATTATAAAACAATCAACCTGGAGAACCATCTGAAGTCTAGCTGAACAGAAGATGGC